TTGTTGTGTGTTGCGTGTTGCATGTTGCATGTTGCATGTTGCATGCTGTATGTTGCAGTGTTATGTTGCATGTTGCATGTGGCATCTTGCTCGTTGTTTACTTATATTAGCTTGAAATGTATTATATTCATACGTAAATAATTTTAGCACAAAAGAAAATGTAGTGGAAAAACGCGTAGACAAAGTTTGGTAAAATTCCACATTGCTATGACCTTTCGCTAATTGCATTCCCATCGCCCATAGTGTACTTCCGGCTTGGAAGGCAATATGCAATATGCAATATGCAACGAAACCATTACCAACATTTTTGATATAGCTGTATACCATGATGGATAATATGAAGCTCACTTCTATCATGGTATCGATATATATGCTCATTGTACTATAGCTCGCGCCGTTACCTTCACTGCTAGAAAACAGTTTCCAATGGCATAGAGAACACGCAGTTCACGCTCATTCCACATTTTAACCGCAGCTGTGGAAGGAAGCAAAAACTTTGTTTTCATGACCATTCAACTTTCCATTTATCTCATACAAGCATCATGGTGGTTTGCATTTGTGGGCAGTTATTACCTTCTCTCATGTCGTCTGATTTGTCAGCTGACTTGGACCCATCCTCGTCTAGTCCATTTGCCAGGTTCTTGAGAACTGCTTTACATGTCCTTTGTAAAGAATAAAGTCTATCTAATGCCTCATTAGGTTTACCACTGTGCTGTGGTAGCTCAGCCAGCAGAATGCGCAGAGAAAAAGGAACCATACATCCTAAAAATACATCAGGATATTAATTGGCAATCATTGCTTAATTTTTAAACAAAGTTAATTTACAGGAAAGATAATAAACATTGCCGTGAAACACATTTAAGGGGGATTAAGGGTGGTGTAGTGGTAGTAAAACTGGCCTATAAATCTCACCCCTGGAGACTCCGGCTCAATTCCGGGATCCAGCGTCATATGGTGAGCAGAGATTTTTGCGTCTCCCTTAATTCAACTAGTTATCTAGTTCTCTACCTCCTTAAAACTCAGTGTGCTAAATTCCAATTCGATTTGTGAGTTATCCATGCCTTGACATAGATCAGCCCAGAGGTTCTTTAAGGGTTCAATATGTGTTAGCCGTGCTCAGGATTTGATGTTTCATTCATCAGCAATACATTAATAAATATTAGATAATATTTAACAAGATAGACGAGCAATGCAAGCTAAATTTTACGACATTTCAATGTCTCATTCATTTTGAGATAACATACCTTTCCTACCAGGGTAGGTCTCTGGGTAAAACTCATAATAAAGATCTGGTTGATCAAAATTTTTGAAGGCTTCTAGCTCTGCCTCTGCTGTACTGTACATCTGGAGCTTGTACAATAATGCTATCCTACAGAACCACACCTTGATATTTACAGAAAAATATATATTAAAAATAGTGCTCAATATTATAAATGGACTGATTTAGTGTTTTTATTTTTGGACCATTTATAATTCAATAAACTAAAGACACCCTATAAAGACAGGCTTTGGTTCACTCTCCTTTCTGCTACCCAAACAAATTACCCCTCACTTCCATTCTGCCAACCCATTTTCTCAGCCATCAGTTTTCTTAAAGAGAAAAACTGCTGTTAAAGAGACAGCTGTTAATCCCTAGATCTATGCAAAAAAGGTTGAAGGGGTGAATGGTGAATGACAATACATGGATTAATATTTCCATTTGCCATTTACCCCTTCACAGTTCCCTGCACCATCTTGAAAGGTAGCCATTTCTTTGCATCAAAGCGAGACGATCGGTAAGCTTGCAATGATAGAGACATGTGAATAATTGTGCCAGGCGATAAAAAGGTCTCTATGCAAGCTCTACATTTGTCTCACTTTAATGCAAAGGCATGGCTACCTTTCAAGATGGGGCAAGGCAACTGTGAAAGGGACTAGTCCAGAAATCAAGTGAAGCCACTGCATACCTGTAGTGTCTTGTGAGTATGCATTGCTCGCTGCCCATACTGTCCAACTCCTTGACCATGTGCTGTAAGAAACCTTGATGTGAAGTCCAGAGCAGCTCGCCAGCATTCAGCAGACTAAAGGAATGGAAAATCAATGCAATTATTTTTCGTAAACAAAACCCCTCAATAGTGAATATTATCAGATCAGTTGAATTTGACAGCGAGGTGTGGTGGTGTTTATATTATCCAGGAAGCATGGGTCATGAGTGGTGAGAGTGCTTGCCTCTCACCAATGTGACTCAGGTTTAGTCTCACCAGGCTCTGTGTTAATTGTATGTGAGTAGAATTGTTGTTGGTTCTCTCTTGTTCTTCAAAGGTTATTTCTCCAGGTTATCCGGTGTTTCTTTCCTCCACAAAAACCAACTTCTAAATTCTAATTTGATGTATTAGATCTTATGGAGTGGGTTGCCAAACCCGTGGCTTTATGTCCATTATGTAGCGGTAAATCCATTTACATTTAGTTGTTACCTGTGACCCTTACTCCACGACTCAAATGGACATTGGATAAACCTTTGAAGTACAGGAGAGTAATGACAAGTAACTCTACTCCTGTATGTGAAGATGGGTTCAAGGACTGACCTCACAGCAGGTAATGGAGAGAGTTGTGCACAAGGAGGGTAAGAGGTAAGAAGACCAGATGCTCCAAATACTCACCAGTAAATCGCGCAGCCCTGATTCATTGAGAGGCACATTGTCCACACCTAAAGTTTGTCTTTTCTCTACATCATGTTCATCCATGAACTTTAATAACAAATCTTTTACTGGGTCCAGCTAAAAGCAATCAAAGATTATTTATTTTATCCAAATAAACAAATTATCTTTTTTTAAATACATTCAGTGTCCGTAGCTGTCAGTAGGGTGTAATTGGTAGGCTGCCAGCAGGATGTTGGTACGATGTTGGTAAGGTGTTGGCAGGGCGTTGGTAGGGTGTTGGTAGGATGTTGGTAGGGTGTTGTTAGGGTGTTGGTAGGATGTTGGTAGGGTGTTGGCAGGGCGTTGGTAGGGTGTTGGTAGGGCGTTGGTAGGGCGTTGGTAGGGCGTTGGTAGGGCGTTGGTAGGGCATTGGTAGGGTGTTGGTAGGGCGTTGGTAGGGTGTTGGTAGGGCGTTGGTAGGGTGTTGGTAGGGCGTTGGTAGGGTGTTGGTGGGGCATTGGTAGGGTAGGATGTCAGCAGGGTATCAGTCGGATGTAAAGGGTAGGCTGCCAGCAGATTGTTGTTAGGGTGTTGGTAGGATGTTGGTAGGGTTTTGTTAGGATATTGGTAGGGTGTTGGTAGGGTATTGATAGGGTAGGCTGCCAGCAGGATGTTGGTAGGATGTTGATAGGACGTTGGTAGGATGTTGGTAGGGTGTTGTAGGGCATTGGTAGGTATTGGTAGGGTGTTGGTAGGTGTCTGGGGGTGTTGGTAGGATGTTGGTAGGATGTTTGTAGGGTGTTGATAGGGTGTTGGTAGGTGTCTGGGGGTGTTGGTAGGATGTTGGTAGGATGTTTGTAGGGTGTTGTAGGGTGTTGGTAGAGTGTTGATAGGGTGTTGGTAGGTGTGTTGGGGTGTCTAATGTGTTGGTAGGGTGTTGGTAAGATTTTGGTAATGTCAGTCGGCTATCAGTAGGGTGTTGGAAGGGTGGGTTGGGTGTTAGTAGGGTGTTGGTAGGATGTTATTAAAAATATGTTGGTAGCTTTAATGCCAGTATTAGATCAGTCCAGAGGCTGTTTCAAGGCATGATAAAATTGATATCCTCTATACAATCATGATTGATGCACATACGAACCTGTGAATTATCTATTACAATACCAGGAGAAGTCAAAAACTGCTGATCGATATCAGTCTTATTTATCATTCCAGAAGTAATCGCTGTTAGGAAATCGCTGGTCTGTGGTGAAGGAATCCATGCAGAGGCAAGTAGATCTTCTTTAGTCTGTTTACTGTGCACTTCTACTTCAGGTACTGTAGGTATTGGTGGATGGACTGTAGTTTCATGAACATGATGCTGGCTGGTATCCTCTAATGGATGCTTGGTTGCTGGATCTTGGTAGACTTTCATATTTTGCAAGCATGTTGGAGTGACAGGGATAGATGAAGGTTGAAATGGTTGCTGAGGTGTGCTTGCATCTTGGAGATGATGCTGTGTGATCATTGGAATTGGAAATGGTTGTTGAACAAATTGGAATGGCTGCTGCAATGAATCTTCACCTATGAACCCTGGCTCTGACCTTCTCTCTGCCTCAACAATATCCTCCAGTGATTTGTGTGGAGGTTCTGAGGGGATGTCTGGGCTTTCACTTGGATCAGGTACCAAAGGTTGATCCTGGAAGGAATCAAGGCCTTTAAAGTGAATGGATTCTTGAGGTTCGTTGTTAATTGGAAGCCCTTGAAAAGCAACCTGAGTTTCCACTGCAGTCTGCCCATCATCCTCTTTCTGGCTGTCAGTTGCTTCCTCTGTGTTGGTCTGAACAAAGATTGAATCACCAGGAGTATTACTTGGATGATTAAGGGTATCAAAAAATGATTGCCCTTCATCAGCTGTAGAACTGTGAGGGTCATTGAAGAGATCACTCAACTTGCGTGACTCTTTTGCTTCTGCCTCCATCATTTGACTGAATGGGCTGGGCATTCTTGGTGAGGCTGATTCTGCCATGCCAATCCTGACGGCAGGGATGGCAAGGTTCTCATTCATCCAGTGACCCTCTAAAAAACAAGGGTTCAATTTCAATCCACTCAACTTCTGCTTTTAACTATACATGTTAACTACATGGGGGAGTTTAAGCTTGCTCTGTTACTTAAAGGAGTATGGAAAAAAGCTGATTTCTTACCAAGCTTGCAATTGCCTCACACAAGCAGATGACACCAGCAACCGTGCTCTGTTCACCAATAAAGCACAGTTCCAAACCAATCAGCGCACATATAYTATCTAAGCTATATAATGATAAGAATTAGGTCCAAAGGTAGATACCTTCAGGTCTTGGACACTGCCATCCAAACACATTATCCATTATTTTGGGGTTGCGAATCAACCAGTTTGAAAATTGCTGTAAGAAACCAATAATACAAGTCATATTATTTATTTAATATGCACTGAAATTGACTGGGATATGCTATTCTGATAAATGGTCTGCATATAAAAGTGGGATACATGTATGCCCTATCATCATGGAATCTTTATGAATGACCCTCCAGGAATATGATAATATCATGTGCCAAAATGGATGGATGGACATTCTTGTCTTACAAGGGTAGCACTCAATAGCCGGTGGCTACAACAAACCTGTGGCCCTGATCATTCTATGATCAAATTTAAATTTATAGGTTGATGTTTGTGAAGGGAGTAAAACTGGAGAACCTGTAAAAAAACCCTTGAAGCACTGGTCGGAGAGAAGCAACGAGCAACTCTACTCACATATTACACTGAACCCAGCGGGATTCAAACCCAGGTCCCGTAGACAAGAGGCAAGCGCTAAATTGCGTAAAAGCATAACATTGTTAACACTAAGAGAATCTTCTTGCATCCTTCTTTATACTCCATATTAATCAACCAAAGACAGAACTTAAATCTCAAGCATCATAAATAAATAAAGAAATGATACTCAAGGAAAAGACATGTGGCATGAAATGGGAAAAAATTTCCCCATTTCCCAAAAAACACTTCCCAATTGGCAAGTTATGTTAGCAATGTATTTACCTTTGCAGATAGTTTTCCACTTTTGGCGGTGTCACAAGTTTCAAATGCTTTCTGCACTATCCTGCAAAAATCAATTAAATTAATTTAGAATAGTTCCTTTTCTCTTTCGGTAAATATATGGCTGTGTTTTATGACTAAAGACTCATCTGCACAGGCTTAGCCTTGTTTTAAAAGAGCAATTCCTTTGCAAAAGTCAACTGTAATGTAAAGAAGGTGCAGTTTGAACAATACCGATGTTTTGAAATCCCACTGGCTTTTAATGGTACTGTGAATTGCTGACTTATAAATGAGGCTAAGTCTGTGCAAATGTCTGTGATCTTTAAAAAATCTTAGTCAACTACTGTACAATGCACTGCGCCCCTATATTGTTGTTTACATCATTCACTTATATATTTTTATTATAAGCCAAAATTCTCAATTCTTAGCAGGGGAGGAGGCCTTAACTTACTCAAGGACATTATAAATGGATGTAGATGTATAGATCTATTTTTCTGAGTTCCATAAGAACAAATTAAAGAACATTTCATTAAGGGATGCAGATAAAATGACTCCAAAATCTATGAAATCCTGTTTTACAGTTAAAGAACTTGACCAGGTTTCTTTAAATTGTTTAAATATATCAGGTATTTCTGATGTATAAACACATACTTTGTAACAGTATCAATCAATTTATCAGTCTCATCAGACTCAGAATTTGTATCTTGTCCCTCTATGTTGTTAAGGATTTTCTCTGCAGACTCCACAGAGCTCAGAAGCACTGCTGTTAACTCATCTTTACTCACACCATCATCTTGATCCTGGTAGAGAGATAATATTGACATAATTTACCATATACTTTGTTGTAGATACGGTACTGTAGGTCATTCCAAGTCCATTCAAACCAAAGAGTTCTAATCTACTAACTATGATACAAACAGAACCTCATGAGAATGAATTGTTTAGCCAAACAACACAAAGAGAGATAGCCAGTCCCTTCTTCAGTACATATATCAGGGCTTAAAAAAACGGTTGGTCAATCTCTGGTCATCATGACCAGCAAAATTAGTTTTAGCTCAGATATGCCTCGTTCCTGGCTCAACATTACTGGTCATAATGACCTGCAAGGCAAAGATTTTACCACGACAGAACAAGTTCTGATTCTGACAGGACATTGTCTGATGACTCAGCCATTATTTTACACCCTAAAATTTTTTTTCTTAAAGCAAAGACATCAAATTCTACTTTTTTTATGACCCTTATTGTTGGTCTGCCAATGGCTTGCACAGTTACGCAACAGCTGTACTCGATTGTGGGTCACACTTTGAATTTCCTCTTTCAAACTTACTAAATCAAAGATCTTGAACAGAAGTCTGCATTTATCTCTGACAGATCCATGAAGACACAAGGCTATACCTCCAATAAACTCATCCAGTTCTATGGTACCAGTCTAGGGGTCAAAAAAAGAATCATTACAATTGAATTGAATTTACAATATTCTGAAACCTTAGGGATCAGGAATCTTCCATGGCAATAGTTCCTTTCACAGTTGATCCCTGCGCCATCTTGAAAGGCAGCCATGCCTTTGCATCGAAGCGAGACAAATGGTGAGCTTGCAATGATAGAGACCTTTTTTTAACACCTTGGACAAATTATTCACAGGTCCCTATCATTGCAAGCTCACCGTTCGTCTCGCTTCGATGCAAAGGCACAGCTACCTTTCAAGATAGTGCAGGGAACCGTGAAGGGGTTTGGTGAGCAATGGGGGTATTTAACCTAAGCTTTATGGGCCATGAGGTGTGGCCTAACCACAGGCTTACCACCCTGACAAAAGGAAAACATTAAATATATGTATTTCATTCTATCAATAAAAATGCTTTGCCTCATCTTGTGTTACCATAGGTATAGTGCGTACACACACTTTTCTAGGGAGAGGGGTAAGCGAAATGTAAAGTGACAAAAGCATTATTTATTATATAATTACCAATGAAATATCTATTTTTCTCTATTTTGAAAAATTGATATCTTTACACGTGAAAATAACATGTTATTTTCACATGTGAAAATAACACCATTGCAATGGCTATTCAAAAATACACGGAAAGAATTGCCTGAAAAAGCCAAAACATACTTCATTGATAATTATATGATAAACAGAATATTACATGGTCGCTTAGAGATACGAAATTTATCTTTTCAATCAGATCTTTTCAACACTCAAAGATAAATTTCGTACCTCCGCGCGCCCATGTAATATCCTCTATTTATCATATAATTATCCATAAAATACCTATATTTCTCCTTTTCAAAAAACTGATATTTTCACATGTGAAAATAACATGTTATTTTCACATGTGAAAATATCATTACCATGTGTATTTAAGCTATTAGTTTATAAATAAAAACTTTTTTTGATAATAAAAAGCTTGTTAAGTTGATTTTATGGATAATTAAATAATAAACAGAATATTACATGGGCGCTTGGAGATACGAAATTTATCTTCTCGTGTTGAAAATCTCTCATTTGTTCACTGCACTCACTCGTGAGAGATCTTTTCAACACTCGAAGATAATTTTTGTATCTCCGCGCGCCCATGTAATATCCTCTATTTGTATTCTTTGACACTTGGTAAATAACAAAACACTTATTGACTGGGAGTTCAGGAAATCAGTGTGTTTTGATGTCCCTCAACAACCATGTTTTACCTGGCTTTGCTTTGGGAAACATTGCTGTCTCGGGACCACAAAACACACTCTTTCCCTTGGTCCCAGTCAATAACATTGGTAAGTGTGGCCCAATAAGTGTCTGGCTGTGACTCAATGGACAATTTGACTCACTCATATTCCAAGGAGAGTAAAGATCAAGTCGAACGTTAACTTCCACATTAGCCAAACCTATTGAAGAAGACCGCCTTGTTTTCCATGGTTTCAATTAGGTTGGGCTCATGTGAATTTGGACGTTTGACCTGAGCCAAGGAGGTTTTGCTGTTTTGGTATCAATAGACAAACTAGTCATACAGTGATAGGAAATGAAGGGCAGTGAGATCATGACATTGGGATTGAAAAAGCCCAGCATCACTTTGCCACACTTGCTCACACTATCCTTGATCCATATAAATTAAGCTTACACATTTTTGTTTATATTCCATATGCATTCACATCACATCAATGTTTGTACTGGGGGAGGGGGGGGATGACATGATAGAACTTAAACTCAATGATCCTATCCAGTGCACCAACTACAGTACTTATACATCTGGACAAAAATAGATCCAAATTCCTCTAAACATGTCAACATCCTACCTCTGTCTTATCAAAAGCATGACACAACCGCTCAGCAACGAATCCAGTCAAATGAAAGCGTTCAGCAAATTCTTGTCTTGTTAGGAGTGATAGCTCGACACGTCTTTTGCCATCTTCAGTTTTTATTGAAAGCTCGTTGAAAACAGCCTCAATATTATCAAGTTCAAGGCTACTAAGCTTCTTTACAGCCTTCTGGTAGCCTTCCTTGGACTTTCCTTGTCCCATTATGATCCAAATTGACCTAAACTTTCCAGATTACATTGTGTTTATCACATTTTAAAGCTTTCAAATCCAAGATGGCCGGAGCCTTGAGGAAATTGCATGGGATCCCTGTGGATAATGGAACTACAGGAAGCCCAATTTTATTTCTGATTTTACAGGTGAAATCAAAGTGAAAAGTCAAAGCTACTCTAAATATTTGTATAGAACTTTCATGACCTAGATCTAGATTGTTCATAACTATTTTATTTCTTAAGTAAAAGAAAAGAATACTAAAAATATTTTTTCATTCAAACTAACAGCAAAACCATGCTTGGGTTCCCTGTGTACCAATAGTATTTTAGTATTTTTCACATTTGATGCTAGACCGATTCCAAATAAGTCGTAGTTTTCGCTCCTTTGTGGGTTGTTCCCGCTCAACTAGCGACTTATCACACTTTAAGGTGGCTGCCTACTTTTGAAAAACCGCTAAAAAATCAACAAGATTTTATTGAAGAACCATACGCGTTTTGAGCTTCAACAGGGCAAAACCCTCACATTTTGCACGGGACTCTATATTTTTTGATAGCTCATT